AAAAAAAAAAACACTTTTTTCCCTGTTTTTCTCTCTCCCATAGTTCCACGTTTTATACAACATTTTCTGTTCTGAGGTTACGGCCATCTTGCTCCATCACATTTATTTACAACAAAATTTGTTACCGTTCCTTACTGTTCCTTACTATTTTTTACATCTGCGCCGGGAAAAAGAAAACATTTTTTCAAAAATCTTATTTCAATTTTTGTTCCATTTTCTGTTTTTTTTTTTTCTTTCTACTACATTTATTGTTGGAGAATTAAGGTGGGGGGAAAAAAAATAAGATGTTAGACAAAAACAAAAAAAATAAGCTGAAGAAGTTTTTAAACAGCTACTCCTTTTTTGTTTTTAGTTTGGTTAAGGCACTGATTTTAATATGATAATCGGTAATTATATAGAATAAATTTGTACTAATGGCGTATATTTATTGAAACAAAAATGGTTCAAGTTTATGATTTGCTTTTCATTTTTTCTTTGTTGAATATGTTCATTAAGCAGAAAAGAAAAAAGTTTTGAGAAAAACAAAAATGAAGAGAAAACAATGAGATTTTATTTTTTTATTTGTAAGAAGTAATAATTTTTTGAAATATTTAACATAAGCTTAACAATGATTATTGTTATCGTCAGATAGGATTTATTGCTTCCAAACTGCTACTGCTGCCGCTGCTGCTGCTGCTGCTGAGGTTTTTGCTGTTGCTATTGCATAATTAATGGGTATTTGTTTAATCTCTTTTAAGAATTTAGATAGTTTATTGGAGTTGTTTTCAGTGTTTGCTTTTCTGATTAATATTTTACTGCTTTCTTATTTTTGGCTACTATTTGCATGTTGGAAATCTGTTTTGTTATTGTTTTTTTTTTCTTTTTGTTTGTATGTGTGAATTTTTTAATTAAATTTTAGCTTTTTTTTCTGTTCCTCACTTTTTTACTGGCTGATTCATAAAGTTTTAGTTGAGTTTTTCTTCTTCGTTTTTAATTGTTCGTAAATTAATCTGCAAACATTTGATCTTTCCGTGCGAAGAAACAGTAAAGGTTTCATTGAGTGAACTTTTTCATATGTACTTTTTGTTTTAGAAATTTCAAAATTATTGCTTGCTAATTGATAATATTAAAGAAGAAAAGAAAAGAAAAATTAAAAATGAATGAAATGAAATGGGAAAAAAAAGTTTAATAAGCTAATATTTTTGTTCTGTTCAGCTGATGGCAGCAGCAGCGGTGCAACGTAACTCAGGTGGTGTATCAGCGATATCAAGTTCACGAGGTGGAGATTCATCGTCACCGCAGAGTAATGGTTCAATATCGACAGCTGGTCGAGATGTTTGTGTTGAATTATGTGTTGTTTGTGGAGACAAGGCATCTGGACGGCATTATGGTGCTGTCAGTTGTGAAGGCTGTAAAGGATTCTTTAAACGAAGCGTTCGAAAACAGGTATAGATGAATTATTTTTTATCTGTAGATGACTATTAGTACCAAATCAGTTTGATCGAGGAAAAAAAGCCTTGCTAAATTTTATTAGAAAAGCACAATCCTGTAAATAGAAGTTTCAGTTTTTGTTGGCTAAAAATTTTATCATATATAATTCTTATCAAACCAAAGATCTTTTTTTTTTTCTGTTTAAATTCTTTAAAAAAATTCTGTATCAATATTTTATCAACTTTTGTCATATTTTTTTTTTTTTAAGATTGGTTATGTATGTAGAGGAACTAAGGATTGCCCGGTAACAAAATTTCATCGTAATCGATGTCAATATTGTCGATTACGTAAATGCTTAACGATGGGAATGCGAAGCGAATGTAAGTTGACAACAGTTATTGTTTAATGAATTTGGTCGAGAAGGAACTTTTAGGTTTCTTGCAAAGAGGAAAAAGAAAGATTGGCTTAATAACAATTAATCAAGTAAAATAATTGAAAGCACCTGTTGTCAACAATGTTTTAAGCAAAGATCATAGTTTTAAATCAAAAAGAACAAAAGATCAATTAAGTTTAATCTGACGGTTTATTTTGTTATCTGCTTATCTGGGCTGTATTTTTAGCAGTACAAGCCGAACGACGTCCTGTCGGTACAGCACCGACAAACGAACCTGCTCCAACAATGGTTCCGACCACTTCTGCTTCACAGACGGTACCAGCGAAAGATATTGGCTTGGTAAAACATAGTGGTTTTGTTTTTTCACTGATAATATTTGGACTTTAAACTTTTTGGATTTCTTTTTGATTCTGATGTTTGCAGAACAGAAAAGTTTTTTATTTGTTGTTGTTGGTGTTGTTGGTATTGTTATTGCTGCTGTTGAGATTTTGATAATCCTTAAAACTGTTGTTTTTTTTTTTTTTTCTTTTTTTTTGAATTTTAATGATAGTGAGCGTTAGGCTGATCGCTCGATTTTTGCACAATACTTTGGCCATAAAACAGTATTTCCTATACAATAATATTTGTTAGAATGGGAACCTTTTCCGCAAAAAAAAAAATGAAAAACTTTATTTAAACCTGTGTTAGCATTTAGCTTTTTATCGATTTTTGTTTTGCTTGAAATTTACCTCTTTTCTTTTTTTTTTTGCAAAATTTTGCAAATCAATTAAGTGATTAATTAATTTTTTGTTTAGCAGCTATTAGAAGGGTAATTTGTTTTTTTTTTTTTTGCTTATATATTATTCAAAATGTTTACTACTGGTCATTATTTGGTGTTAATTAGCAAAAAAAAATTTTCAGGTATCGCCGATAAAATCTTCTAGTGCTTTTATGAACGGTTTATTGGCAATAGTGAGGAATGGAGTGGTCAGTGCACAGGTTTGTCTTGACTAATGGCTTTCAAATTATACACATCTC